TTACAAAAGGCAAAGACAACAAAGTAGTTATTGCAAGTAATATAATGTGAGATGTTAAACTGCATTTTCATTCTAATAGAGTAGGTAGCAGTAACTAGGCATTCCAATGTGATAACTTTATCTCAGTTAACTATTTGCAAATGAAATTTATTCAGGCAAATGACCGTGAACTCCAGTTTTCGATAGTTGATGGTGATTTCAAGAAGTTTGAAGGAAAATGGTCTGTCAAATCTGGTAAAAGGTAAATTCTGGTGTAACATATTTTGCATCTCCTTCCTGGTGATGTGTGTTTCTGAGGATGATTAAAGATTCAAGTATCATTTGGTTGTTAACATTTTTGGCAATCCATGCTGGTTATCCATCTCAACTGTTGCATGAAAATGTAGCCTCTTTAGTTGTGGAGTCTTTATTCAACTAAAATGATATTGTTTACCTTTACATAGCATTGGTAAACATCTTTAGTATGCTTATAGAAGGAATCAGCTGCAACCTAAACGGCTATGTAATGAGTACTAATATTCTCTTTCATTTAGCAATTGTGTTTAGACATCATTTAACATGTGCAGTTAATTGTTCATGTCTGATCTGCTGCAAGATAAGTTAATGGCTAAGTCAGAGGAGTTGGTCTAAAATTTAGTTCTTGTATCTCTTGCCATTGATATTTCTTGAGACAAATTGGAGCACTATATTGAGAAAATTGAGTTGTGACTACATCTAATAACCTTGCCTCAAGGGATTCTCTCCAAGTTTGGAAAATTCTTTATGCCGCCTCAGTTACATCTGATGTTGCATCTCCCACATAGAGATGAAACAATTGAATGTACAAACAATGGTTATGGACTGTAATCCTATTTAGATGTATTCCTCTGGTTTCTATGGACAAGTTTTGGTTAGTTTCCGAACTGGTATCTTTTGCAGTAGCCTTCCTTTTATTTGGCTTTGTAAGCACCGTAAGCATAGTTTTAGAAGACTATCCTATTAGATCAATATTTGTCTGATTTTTTTTTTATCGATACACTAAGGAAAAAGTATTTTTTTTAATCTTTAGTGATTTTAGTGAAGCTTAATTGAAATTTTCACTTTACTTTTTCATTTATCCTTATTTGTGCACGCTTAACTTGTCGATGACTTAGATGGTAATAGCTTACTAATATATGATACTACACAAAAAGTGCTGCTAAAGTGTATCTAAAAAGGAGAGAGGATTTTTAGAATTTGTCAAACTTTGACTTATGAATATCTGAAAAATGAAAAGTTACACAACGAAGCCTTTAATTCTACCAAATCTTGTGCTCTGATTGTTATCTTCCCAAAAAGTGTATAGCTGTTTAATCAACTACCAAAAAAGAAAAAGAAAAGTGATGGACCTTGTCTCCGTTTCTAAGAAACAAAAAACAGATAAATCCAAAGATTGAAGTTTGGAGCTTCAATCCAAGTTTATAACAAAGTCCAAATTCCACCTTCATATATCAACAGATAAACCAGATGCAAAGTAGATGAAGATCAAAGGCAATAGTTAAGTAGAACAATTTCTAAGATACAAAGTCTCAAACTGTATGCGGACCGGTTATCATGAAGCACCTAACTTAGTAGGAAAGAAGAGTCAGCCAAAGCTGCCAAAGGATCACTTGTACTGTTTCTTCTAAATCAGCAATATGGCCCTTGTCTCAAGTATCTTGTAAACTTTGTGCTAGTGGTTATGCTTGTTCAGTTCATTTCTTCCTGCTTAACAGGCATGCACTGCTACCTACTTTCTGCTCATTAAATAGTTTTGTCTCAAGAGGTCTTCATTCATTTTGTAATTGCTGTCTATTTTCTAGATTGCGGATGTATGGTCCTGTGGTGTGACATTGTACATGATGTTGGTGGGAGCTTATCATATTGACTTAATTGGATTTTTGTTCAGTATGACTATTCATTCAAATTCAATAGTGTATGCTTGTAATGGCATTTTTTTGACTGAAATCGATTCTAATGCATATGATACTTTTCTTTCAATGCAGTACAATGCTATTAAATGCTCTTGAGGAGATGAAAAAGGTTGGCTTTTGGATATGCTCATGAAGATGACTTCAGTTTGACACAAATTGCTGCTTTAGTCTATGTTTTTGTTTGGAAAGAGTACTTTGTTTTTTTGGATGCGTAATGGCTATTACTAGTTGAACTGATGTGAATTTAGTACTCTATTGTTTGGATGGATAATGGCTGTTAGTACTTGAACTAATGTGGGCTTTGGAACCCATTTTGGTTAATGTGTGTTTTGATGAATTTAGAGATGTTTATAACCATATATATATATATTTGAGGGTTCATTGTACATTAATTACTATCGTTTTTTGCATTAGTCGAGCCACAATTTTCTGCTATGGTTGTTGAAAATGCAATAGAATTGCAGCTCTTGTACACAAAGTTGTAAGTTCACTAAGTGACGACTATTCTTGTCACAGAATACTAGGAGTGAGAGTGACAAGTTCAAGTCGTCACTGTGCACGTTCAAATTTGTGACGACTTCTGCTATTTTTTATGACGAAAAAATTTTGGAAACAGTGACAAGAAACTTCGTCACAGAATACTATTTTTTAGTGACGACTTAGTCTTCGTCATTAAATAATAATATTTAGTGACGACTTTGTAGAGGTTGTCACACGTACCCATTTGTGACATAGAATTAATGACAACAATGTGACAATGGAAAAAGTCGTCACTATATTCATATAATGACGACTTTCTAATTTTTAGTGATGACTTCCTATTGTCACAAAAGGTCAAATTTCTTGTAGTGATTTAGTTGCACTTTACCTTTAGTTGCACATTTGTGATTTTTTTGAAACGTGATTGTAATTTGTAAAGCTCATTTGAAGGGGTGGTTATAGGGTTAGTTTGGGGATAAATATTTTTTAATTATAAAAATGTAACATTGTATTAAAATAGCATACGAATGAGCATTTGTCTTTAATTAAAGAGTAAAAAAGATTTAAAATATAAATAACAAAGTATAAACGGTTTATGAAGTAGATAGTGAGAATGTTTTAAATTTTAAATTTGATTGGTGATAGGGTTGGTTATAACCCACTACTTTTTATGTGTTAAAATAAATACAAAAATCTATAACCCACTACTTGTTCCGTTCTTGAGATTTTTTTTAGGGTTAAATATAGTAAACCCCTTAACTTTACATATAGTTGCACTGTACCCCCTCAACTTTACATGTAGTTGCACATTTGTGATTTTTTTGAAACGTAATTGTAATTTACAAAGCTCATTTGTAGGGGTGGTTATAGGGTTAGTTTGGGGATAAATATTTCTTAATTATAAAAATGTAACATTGCATTAAAATAGCATACGAATAAGCATTTGTTTTTAATTAAAGAGTAAAAAGGATTTAAAGTATAAATAACAAAGTATAAACGGTTTATGAAGTAGATAGTGGGAATGTTTTAAATTTTAAATTTGATTGGTGATAGGGTTGATTATAATCCACTACTTTTTATGTATTAAAATAAATACAAAAATCTAGAAAAAATAATGAGAAGTTTAGAAGTCATTGAGAGGGTCTCTGATAAAAACCCCTTCCTCAATACATATAGATATAGATGTCCAATATTTTGGCACATGGGAGAAAATATTACGTGAGACTGGGGATAACAACGGGTCGTATACCCTCAAAAATCACACTTACCAAACCCTAATGTATATCTAAGTATTTTATCAAACCCTATACGGTAATCTTACGGGTTTCATTTCTCATTACCAAATCCTCTAATTCACGGGTTTGAATTACCCATCAGATACCTTTTGTCCACTAAATTGAATAGCTCAACAAAAGAAAATTAACCTTTATTAAACTAAAATCAATACAAACATCATATTAAATTAACATACTACATTGAGTTTTAAACTTGGCTAAACCCATAGAGTTTGCATGCATAAAATCCAACATTTAATGAAGGGTTAAATTAAGATTTTTCTATTTTTAACCACAATGATCTTTATTTGTGTTGGGTTAGAGTTATATGTTATTGGATTATAAAATTAAGAAACATATTATTGGACTACAATTGGATTAAAAATACACACAAATATATAAATATATATAACGGCTAACGGATTTCTAGAATTCTCTTATGACACATAATCCCATTGGTCGTCTAATCGAATTAACCATGAGGTCGAATACGTGCATGTATCAGGTTTTACTCTACCTATTGCCATCCTCGTGTGTGACAAACTATGATAACTAATAAATTAATTAGCTTTATACGTTTTCACTAAGGTAATGTATTATCTTAATTCTTTTGATCGGTACTCTATATCTATATCATAAACCCCGGTCGTAGTATGGCCCCCATGCACCACATCTGCCATGGAAATGGTAATTGTACTATAGCAAGAGAGAGAGAGAGCTGAAAATTTCTTCTTATTGCTGATGAATGTGAGAGTCTGAAGAGGGTGAGAGTCCACGGAGGAGGCATCTTAATTTACCTACCCCAAAAAAAAATATGTATTATCTTAATTCTTATTACCTTTTCAAACACATTAAAAGTTCAATCCATGGGAGAAGAAAGAGCACAAAAAAGTCTTAATAATGAGCAAATCAATTCAAGACTATGACTCAGCTTTATATGATTCACCAAGTTCAGCAATTATATATTGTTAATTCAATTGTTTATTTGTGGACTTGTGAATTCAATTGTTTGTGAATTAATAATTAATTTGATTTGCAGGATCCTCCAATTCAATAAGAGCGACTTGAAGGCGTGTTAGAGTTGGCTTCAATTGTTTAATTTTCTTCAGCTGCAAACAGGAATGCGCCTTCTGTAGTGGGACAATGGATGGTCGAAATGTTTGTAAAATATTTCAGAATTCAAAATTTGTTGTATATTCAACATCAGGAAAAGCTCCATTTTCTTGTAAAGCTTGTGATATTGGAGCTGATCGCTTGCTTATCACTTGATCATACCCAACCATACACTGAACAAAATCATTTCAAGAAATAAGCAATGGCTGCACTGCCCCTTGCTAAGATATCAGAGCGATTGGCTGATGGTTTCTTGAATCAATTAGAAGAGAATGTTAATCCCATGACAAGTGTCATAGAAGAGGTGAAAAATATCTCTGAGAAATTGACAACAATTGGAGGATTGATGTCTGATGCCGAGAGGAGAAAACTGAAGGAGGAAGAAGTCCGAATTTGGCTACAAAAGCTTGATGGCATAGCATGTGAGATTGATGATTTGTTGGATGAATGGAACCTTGAGATACAGAAACTTTGTACTCAGACAACTTGGGAGAAGGTATGTTCCTTTATCCTATCTTTTTGCTGTTGTTCCAAAAGAATTATTGGTGCACCATCATGTTGCCTCGAGAATTAAGGCAATATATGATGAACTGGAAGTGATTTGGAATGAGGCAGCTCAATTTAAGTTCGTCAAAAGCCATCTAGCTACTTGTGAAAAACCTGGTGGCATTCTTTGTGATGAGTTGGAGGCGTTTGGTCAAGAATCTGACAGGGATGTTATAGTAAGCCGTCTAGTATCTGAGAGTAGTAACAAAAGGGATGTTGGAGTTCTTGTTATCTCTGTAGTTGGCACTGGAGGAATTGGAAAAAAACCAATCTGGCTAGAATAGTATTCAATGATGATAGGGTGAAAACTCACTTTAGAACATCCAGAAAATGGGTATGTTTACCAGATTCTTATGATTTGGCAGGGAAGTGTTCCCCTAATGTGTCAGAGTTGGATAGTTTGCTCCAATATCTTAGGAGCACTCTGTCTAGGAAGAAATTCTTGCTTGTCTTGGATGGTGTATGCATTCAGGATGAGATAAAATGGGTGAAAATTAGAGACTCTCTCAAGGATGGAGTCAGTGGAAGTAGAATCTTGGTTACAACTAGGAGTGAAAGAGTGGCACGATTGATGGGCACAACTTATATGCACCACTTGAAACAAATGCCTGATTCAGATTGTTGGGAAATATTATCCAGGAGAGCATTCCAAGGAAGGACTAAAGAAATCTTTGAGAAAGTGGAACAGATTGGCAAGGGGATTGCAAAGAAGTGTAATGGTTCACCACTAGCTGCAAAGATTGTGGGAAGTCTCTTACAATGTAAGGATACAGTGCGAGACTGGCAAAACATACTGGATAATCAGATATGGGAATTGGAGGAAGTACCTGTGGACCTTGAACTTTTCCCTGCTTTATATTTAACTTATCATGAATTGTCTCCTGAACTGAAATGTTGCATCAGATACTGTGCAGTCTTTCAGAAAAATTTGAGGATAGACGTGGAAGGTTTGATTAGACTGTGGATGGCACAAGGTTATATTCTTTACTCATCAGAGGCAGATGAAGTACAGATGGAAGAAAGGGGACGCGAGTACTTTACTCTGTTAGCAGGACGTTGCTTTTTTCAAGAACAGGAAAAGGATATCCTTGACAGAAAAGTTGTCTCATGCAAGATCCATGATATAGTGCATGACTTTGCAAAACATCTCGCAAAAAATGAATGTCTTATAGTGGAAGAAGCTCACTTGAGAGAAAACACTGGAGCTATTAAGCATCTAAGGTGGCCAAGGGACAATTCTAGGGAGACATTATCCTCTCTAGACCTTGATGTAGGAAAGGTTCGAAGCTTTTTTGCCACTACAAGTGTTCCTCAAGATTGTTTCATTAAGCATCTCAAATGTGCGAGGACTTTGAGTTTCAGCGCCTGTAGTCTGGCAGAAATACCAAGCGAGATTGGAGATTTGATCCATCTGAGGTACTTGAACTTGAGCCATAATCACTTTGAGGAATTACCTGAAACAGTCTGCAACTTATTCTATTTAGAAACTTTGGATATCAATTCATGTGAAGATCTGATGAAACTTCCTCAAAAACATTGAAAATCTAGTACACTTGAGGCATCTGCTTAATTTTAATACATTCAGGTTGTACGAATTTCCACGAGGGATTGAGAAAATGACTTGGCTTCGTACTTTGACAATCGTCAAAATTGGGACAGTGTACTTCAACTGGAGCAGTCTTAAGAACCTAAACCAACTTCAGGAATTTATGCACATTCAAATCTTTGACATGGTTGGAACTGCAAATGCTAAACTCGAAGAAAAGCAGCACCTCAAAAATATGATTCTAGAGTTTAGTATGTCGTGCTCAGGATTGGACATAGATGAGAGAGAATCTCTGATACCACCTCCAAACCTGAAGAAGCTCACAATCCGTAAATATCCAGGATACCTATTCCCAAACTGGATGGAAACAGCTCTCAACAATTTGAGAGTTCTTCATATCATTGAGGCCTATGACGTCTTGTCTTTACCAGCACTAGGGAAATTACCGGCCCTCGAAGAGCTTAAGTTTGTGGAATTGCAGAGTTTAGCATACATCGGTCGCGAGTTCCTTGGACTACCAGAGAACATTGATTCTCTTGGTGAATCTAAGGTAGTCGCATTTACCAGGTTGAAGATATTAGTGTTCAGTCATTTACCAAATTGGCAAACCTGGCAAGACATTGAACCAGGCGAAGAAGATGCTGTCTTGGTGTTGCCATGTCTTCAGCACCTAGCCTTGTTTGGTTGCGAAGAATTCTTTTTTCTGCCACATCGCATGCTTCGCATGTCATCATCACTCCAGTCTGTAACAATTCGATGACATTGATGGATCTCTGATCATGATCGTTATGCTGATTCCAGGTATGGTTGATCATTAATTTCTTATTCGCATAATGAATTTCTTAATTTCTTATTCTCAATTATATGGTGGGAAGCATCTAAGTTTACTTTGTTTTGCAATCCTAAATATAATAGAGGAGTAAGCACCATAATTTTACAAGGTTCATATCATGCAACAGAAATGATTTAACAACACCCAAATTCCTACCTTTTGATTTCAAATATTCTAAGATCTCAAACTTTGTGTGCTTTTGTGTTCTTTTCATTTTTCAAATTGATATATCGTTTGTTATCCTTCCTATCTTATGGACAACACTCCGAATTGCACAATTTATATTGTTTAGCTATACCATATAAAAATAGAATAGCAAAGTCTATATCAAAATTACCACACTAATACTAGTGATCTATAATGTCACAAGCTTTATTTCAACTTTGAATAAAACTTAAGATATACCGAAATTCAGCCAAATTGTATACCGTCCACAATCTTTGGGGGAACAAAACTATGATGCCTAATCTACTATTTTAATTATTGTCATCTAGCTGGCCATGAGATTGTTTCGTTTTCCTTGACCAGGTACTCGATTGGAAGTGACATCACGTTGCCTAAGGGCAAATCCCTGGGTTAACAAATTCAAGATTAGGGCCTTCAAATGTTGTTTGATTTTTATTTGGTATCAGCTTGTCCAAAAGTCAAGGTCAATGATGAATAGTTTCATAAAGAAATGGGTTAGTTTTGAGTAATAAAATTTGGATACTGAGTGATTTTTTTTTTTTTTTTTTTGTCAAAAAATACTGAGTGATTTTTTGGATACTGAGTGATTGTAGAGTGTAATTAATGGATTGTACATGCCATGTCCAGTTTCTCTCTATCTCTCCTCTTTTTTAATTTTTATCTACTTTTTCTTCTCTTCTCAAAAGGCCTTCCCTTTCTCTTCGTGTAGTCTCCCTTCCATGGATTCCATTTTTAATTTATTTTTCTAATAAAATCTCTTATGAAATTTCGTAGTGTGAGCTTTCTGTTTCTCTTAGAGATTCATAATGAGAATTTTCTGTTCTATTAACACATTTGACCATTGCAACATAGAAACTATACTAATTTATCTTATTAGAAGACATTTTGATATTTCTTGTATTTTTTTAGATCTATACATAAATTTTTAGATCTTGGCACCTATTAAATTATAGATCTGTTATTTATAGTGCATGCTTATTCTACAATTAGTGCAGACTTTTGTTATGTAAATCAAATTGTACTAGGCAATTTCTAGAAAGTTTATTAATGAAATTCACTTTTTATAAAAATAAAAAATAAAAAATAAAAAGTGTTATTAATTGTGGAAATTGATACAATATAAAATCATATGGATAAAATTTATTTGAATCGCAACTTTAATGTGTTATGAGGTGTTGTGTTTTATTCCGTTATTTTCTTAAAATCTATGCTTCTTGTTATAGCTCCTACGTCAGTTATATTTAATATCAGCACTCACATTGTCCCATACAACTTTAATTGACAATCGTGCATAAATGTTTATGAATTTGTCCTCTATGTAGAAGTACTTCATGGTCCCATTATTTATGGGATAAAATATCTGGATGGTTTTCAAACTATTAAGTTGGTCGATTTTTAATCCTTTAATTATTAAGTGTATATTTCTGTCCCTCAAACTTGTAAAAGGGTATATTCCATACCGTTTCGGTTAGAGATAATTTTAGAAACCTCATCGAGATTTATGTTAATATTACTTGGTACCTCTAAAACTTAAAAAATATCATTAACCTCCCCTAAAATCATACCTTTTACAACCATTTAGTGTATCCTATAAATATACCCAACACTATTCATCTCATTCGCACTAGTGCAGTGGGGTTATTTTAGCAATTTTACTCACATGGCTTGGTTTTGTTTTGAGCTTTCAGTACTGTTGAAGTATTTTAATAAAAAAAAATATCCCAAAACTATATAGCAATAATTTGAATTACAAATTTTATGCATAAATTAAAAACTTTTGTACCAGGCCATATTGATGGTGAATTTGACCACTCTATATTAATCTAGAAAGTTATATTTTGTAACTAAAATCATCCAATAACTATTCTTAATTCACTAATGATTAAGTCTTCAATTCTACCTTCGTAACTTCTATATTCTTCTACCTATAAATAGAGGATGAAGCAATATGTTTTTTTACAAATTTTAAATATAAGGTTCCGTTTGATAAAACTGAATCTGAATTCTGAAATCTGAATACTGAAACAATTAATTTGTTGAATTTTAAGCACTAAAAAGAAATATATAAATGCCTGAATTTTAATGCCAAACCTATTTATACTGTTTGACAAACATTTATAACTAAATGTCTAATAAGTTAAATTTGATAATTTTGCCCTTATATTTTTTCATCCAAAAAAGAAATAGAATCTATTATTTAATTAGCTTAAAATTGTTAGGTATAAAAATGACAATATTTATTTTTAAATCAAATTAATATAAAAGATGAAATATATTATATGAGAAGTATGGAGAAGATGTGAAAGTCATTAAAAAGAAAGAAAAGAGAAATAGAAAATCCTTAGATAGAGAATATCATGTTGTTTAATTAAATAAGAATTTTGAACATAATTAACAAATAAGGGTAGATTAGCTAGATAAGATAAGGTTGTTGAAATAATTCTATTGATTCTTATCAGAATTAAGTTTTCAGTTAGGATTCTTGTGCTGAAAAAAATACACAAGTTCAGCAGTGCTTAACAAGTTCAGCAGATGGATTTTCATTTATCAAATACTCAAAACTTCTGAATGTCTAAAAAAGTTCAATTTCATCACTTTTTTATGTTATCAAACAGACCTAAGTCTATGTGCCTCATAAGCAATAGCCAATGTGGGTTTTGAAATACATCATATGCTATAATTTTTTTTACTAGACTTCTTTTCACCCTCCCACCTCACTTCATACCCTTTCAACCCTCAACTATCACAAGATTCGAATCCTAAACCTGATAATAAAAAAGATTCTAAGAGTCCTCCCTTGTCCACAAGGCTGACTCTTATGACTATCATATGATATAAATTTATTTGATCAGATTGTGCATATTTTCCATTGGCAATAGTTTTCTGGACACTTTTTATTTGTGTCTTTTCAGCTCCACTATGCACTAAGAACTATTTTTATTCCAGTGTGCATTAACACAAGGGTTGATTGCAATTTATCCTTTTAAGACGTAGTCTGATTTTCACTTTATCACCTAACCTTTGTTTCATGTCACTAAATCTCCTAAGAGACAAAAATATCCCTCTACTATGTAATCTTTTTCCTTTTTTCTCTCTTCTCTTTTTTATTCCAAATTAGTTTTCTTTTTTCAAAATTTTATTTTTAAGAAAATAATAAATTTCTTTAACAAAAATTTAGGTTGTTGATTCTCTAATCCACAAAATTAAAAAAAGATTTATATATTTTTTACAAGTCAATTTCATCTATTATCCAATTTTAGAAATTAAGAAACAATTTTTATTTACTTTCTTATAATTACATTATTCACAATCAATTACCCATTTATATGCTAATACTAAACTTTTTTGTTGTTTTCCTGCAATGAGTTTTTGCTTATGATGATCTTTTTTTCATTTTTAAAAATAATCAATTATTAGTGTGACAGCCCCACCTCACCCTAAGGCGAACCAAAGGGTTCGGCGGACCGCCTGCCCAACTCTTGCCAGGACTACGGAGTTGATTCATACAAACCCAATATAGTGCACGCGATAGGACTCAAAGAAAACGAACAATCGGAAACTATTAAGGTGAGAACATGCTTACTAAAGCATAAAATCATAGTCTCAACGGAATACATTTAGTAGACAAGGTTAAACACTTATACATATATTTATATTGGAGTCTTAACATACAGTGCAATACAAGGTATTCATACTATACAAAATACAAAATACAATTAGGGCTTCATTTCCAAAAGAACTTAACAACATGACATATATACTAGCTTGACCCTTTTCTTCCAAAACCGCGATTCCTTCAAGTTGAATTGATCTTAGTAAAAATGAAGGGTTTTGAGGGTTGTTTGTAACCCTAGGACCAACTGTTATCTTTTTACTCAAAAGTCATATGTTTATTCTTCTGTACTAGTACTTAACCTGGAAAGACGTACGACATGTAGTCGAGCCTCTTTTATGCATTCTATTTACTGGGTTTGTGGATGGGCGAACTATAATTGTTTTATCTTCATTATTTTAGGATTTTTTGGTGATTAAAGCCACTTTGGGTATGTGACGCCCGAAGGAAGAAAATGGAAAATTTTCCTTATTTATTTTATTTTTCACGTGCATTTCTCTTACTTTATTTTATTATCAAAATTTTCCAGAGATTTTTATAAATGAATATAGTTTTCCAACCATTTTCCTAGTATAAGTTAGTTCGGGTCAATTTGAAGCGTATTATGGATGTGGGGCCTGCTAGTGCGTTAAGTGCGATAAATTTTTGCCGATTAATTGAAGTTTTATATCAAGAAATATTATTTTACAAGGTACTAGGAAATAATTAGAGGTTAGAGGTTACCTAGAGGGATTAACCATTGGAAGATAACAAGATGAGAATTAACCCTTGGATGCCATTAGTCCTTGAAACATTGGACCTTGACTTTGACTTGAACTTGTCTTAACCTTTACTAAACCAAATTTTGACCCAATTTCTTTCCATTTTCATTGTCTTGGCCGAAATTTACGGAGAGGAAAGAACAAGAGAGAGTTTCTTCAACTTCAACTTTAATTCTTGCTCAAATCTTGAGTTTCAACCGTTGAATTATCAAATTACTCCATCAAAGTTGTTTATTAAGGAGGATTAAAGCTTCTAGTGGAGGGATTTGTGAAAGGAAAACCCTAAGTTATTATCTTTCTTGAGGTGATAAGGTCCTTTGCTTACAAACTTTCTGTTTGTTCTTGCTAATGTC